TGAGATAATAATTAATTATGGATGTAATGTATAATAAGCCAACCTTAATTTCCCTTTATTGTTACCCTACATATCTAAATAAGTTTCGTCTGAAATTAGAGGAGCTGGTATTATCTTAAAAGCAGAAATCATTTATCTTGCTTGTTGTTTTGAGAAATAGTGGTCTTTGTCGTGAACCGTGGCCTCAGTAAATTTTATAATAATGATCGGAAATAATGTGACTGATGTGTCCCATTAATCTTGGGACAACTTGACTTCTAATTACGGCATTCAGTTGGTTCATCATGCAGTTATGGTGTGCAGTGAGTACGGAGTAGGACTGACAGTTCAATATTTAGTAGCATTTTGTAATCTTTAACAGTATTTAATCTCTAGATTTCGTGTTGTCACGGTAACAGTTTTAAACACTTAGTACCTTAATGCTGATATTTACCTCGGAGTACAAGTTTTAAGGTAGTCGATTTGATTCATTATTTATCACACTTTTTTAGTTAAATTAATAGGAGTTAGTTAGTTGCAGGTGTTGGATAATGTCACTAGCCTTCACGGAAATTTGGCTCAAGTATAAGTAAATAAACCTGTGCTTACGGAGTCACGCTAACAAATTGTTTCATTATAGTCATTTAAAGTTTAATTTTTTCCATCAGTTCGTTTCTTGAAGCATTATTGCGTGCATGGTGAATGAGTTCTAAATTTATGTTAACTTTCAAACTATAGTTTCAAACAATTGTTGATTGTCTTCATTGATCTTAAGTTACTACTTTCTAAAGGTCATAGGCAAAAGTCAGCTTCGAATGTGACTGTATAAAAAAGTATCAGTTAACATCAAGTTAGCGTGAAAAGGTAAAATGTCTTTTGTCGTAACTGCAGAGAAATATTTTCCTGTTTACTCATAAAACATGACAGCTACGATTTGGGTTGACATTGTGAGATCCTTTGAGTTGCGTTTTTATTGGTTATGTTATTCCGTCATATCACACGTTTCTTCAGTTTGGCGTAAACACATCTTGTGTTTATCTGAAATCCAAGTGTTGCCATAAGATACATCTCATTGTGAGTAGTTTTACTTCCTGATCTTTTAAATGAGAAATTGGATTACAGTTGACTGACACCTGACGTTATGCTGATTTTCTTGTAAGTTCTTTTCCAGGTTGTTTTAAAGTTTGCGATCTTAAATAAAACCAAGTATACGAATGAATTGTAACGAAATTCGTATAAAGTGTAATATATTGAAGAATCGAGAATTAGTAAATCTACTTAAATTTCTAAGTGTGAAACTTAAAGTTCATTATTATGTAAACAATATTTTCATGGGATGCATGTTCGTAGTGGTAGGAAGTCGCAGTGCTTTCCATGATAGTTTTATTTAGTTCTGGCCTATGCTAATTCGGTGTCGAGAGGATGGGGCAAAAGACTGCAGAAAGATTAGTAATAAATAAGTTTTCCTGGGTTAATGATTTTCAAGTAAAAGTGAAATGTACTCACCAGTATGATCTAGTATAAAGTTTGGAGCTTGGTTTTTTCCAGTTACTTATTTTGACCATCTTGTGAACTTCAATATGTACCATATTGCCGTGGTCTTGCAGGGTTTATGACCTTTCTCTTTTACTTAGCAAAGACAAAATAGTCGTAACGGAAATAACCTTGAGGAAAACGACTTTTTAAAGTGCAAATCCAAACGCTGAGTTGGGAGACCTTGACTCACACCATTTTGAAACTGTATACGACTTTTATTATGACGAGATCTTAATGGCTAACGTTAGCACTTATTCTTCTGACCAACAGTTGTACTTTGTTTTGTGATAATCCATACCATGACATTACCCAAATAATCGAACAGTAATAAAAATATAGTGTCTCCTAATTAAGTTTAATCTTTCCATTTTATTGAGTAACTCCCTCATTATTCGAATGGTACCGTAAACTCCCACGTGACTCATTCATCAGTTCTATCATATTTAAAAAAATTTACTGCCTAATTTCATTGTTGTGTTGTTTAGCATTTAGTCTTTAGGTGAATCCATTAAATGTTCTTTTATCCTCATTTACGTGCACTGTTGCTTATTTATATCAGAGGTTACGGATAACGATTTTATTTAACTTCTCATAGTAATAAGAATTTAAGTATAATAGTCCCTTAGATAACATTGTATAAGATTAATCATACTGATGCAAATGGTCATTCATTCGCTTACTTTAAATTTTTTAGTGTAGTATTGTAGCATTTTGTACTTGAATTTCAGTCGCTTTTTTCGAGGTATATCGCTCTTGTGTAGTGTTCTACTGGTATAATTACTTAAACTTTATTTTTTGTGTTGTAAATTTATAGATGTTAAGTGTGGAAACTTACACCTTTGTTTATGATTAAGAGAACGACGAATATTCCTTAAAAATCATCTGTTCATATGCTATGGTTGTTCAGTGGTTGATATTGTTGAAATATATTTATTAGCAGACGGTATCATATATTAAAAAATGTTTAAGAAATACCTATCGTGTAGCCAAGTTACTATGTTGACTGTCATAAGTGTTCTTTTACTGGGTTATATAAATTTTAGAAATTATACTAGGATGTTAATTTTGTCACAATAAATTGTAAAAATAGTTCAAGTGTAGATTTCGTCATAGATTGCCTATTATGGGTGGTGTTTCTGTTTTGTTATTAGGATGTCGACTTTTTTGCTAGTGCATAAGTTTATATACAGAGCTTCTAGCGATAATTAAGTTTATTGTTACTAATTTTTATGAACAGAACTAAAAAATGCCCGAAAAACTATGGACATTCTATAACAACAGTATGTGATTATTTTATGCCTAGGAAAGTGAATTGTATGTAAAAATTGTTATAGGTTTTTGTTATTTCTATTGTAATAAACTTTCCTCTGCTCAATAGCTTGGTCATATTTTTATTTTCATTAGTAACGAATGAACCCTTTAGTCTGTTCCTTCTTAGTCACTGAATTAATTGCATATCATTCACTAAAAACAATATGACAGCATCAATCCAAAGTGTACATTTTACCGCGGTTATTAGGTCTAGTTTCTTTGTTTTAATTCCAGGGGGTTAACTGTAATGTAACTAATTCAGTTACAAGTGGTATCGATAGGAAAGAACGACCAGTGTTCCCCAACAATCCTTCGAATCGTCGTCCTGATACTCACAGCAATCCCGGATTCGAACTTGATTTCAATGAAGTAATAACTAAATTGTTTTTTATACCAAACGTACTGTCGAGAAAGTTCTTGAAATGTAACATTTTGCAATTATTTTTCTGTACAACAGTCTTGCGGTATACTTATTTGTACACAAATAAATTATGAAAATGCCATTAATCTTACCAGCCAACGTACATTATAAACAGACGGTGGTTTCCAAACTACTATCACATATTTGTAGTCTCTTCTCACCTGGACGTTGAACATTGGATTGCTGATACACTTATTAGTGTTCAGTAGCAGAAAATTCTCAACCCTAGCTGTAAACATTAATGATGTTTTACAGTCCAGTAATGTGTCGGTAATCACAAAACTCGCAAACTCTTGATGTAGTTTAAATTTGTGTCCAACGTCCCATTAACATTTATTTCCCCTTTCAAAATCACCAACTTATTTTAGTTTTATTTGAATTTTGGTACCCTTTTTACTAAGTTTTATTGGAGTAGTATTTTATATTTTTGTAATGTAAGTTGTTTATTATGAAATTGTAGCTATAGTACACTATTGGTTATACTAAGAACTTTATTGTCTTATTTTGAAACCAATATATTGCTCCGAATCATTGGTTTTTATATTTCTAATTTACTGGTTACCGGTTTGTGAAAGAAGTTTACTTTGCACAGCCCTACGTGAAGTTTGAATTCAGATCTAGCGATTCTTAACAAGTTTTGTATTAATTGTTAGAACACTTAATACTTTGTTTAAAAACTTTAGGATAAGCTGTGACCATATCACAAATACTCTGTTCTACTATCTCTTAGGATTCTGGTTTACACCAAACTCTTTTGCATCCCACCAAACCTAATCTGCTTAGCATTGCAAAACACTCCTTTACATTGGATTTCCGACCGTCTGAGCGCGATAATTTCTTTGCAGATGTCAAACCTATTCGAGCTAATATTTGTACTACTGATCCAGCCGAAGATTGGGCTACTCATCCATTTCTATTGGACGAAAGACATCAGCATCCTTTATTCCGTTGTCCAGAGTACGTACCAACGGAGTATTCTGAAAGCATATTTCAATCACCTTCTCCTCATGTCTATTCAGAATATAGCGGCAAAATTCCATACCCACCTAGTACTTCGGATAATGGAGTTTCTACACCACAACCTCTCTCTGCACCTGCAGCTTCCGCTATCGGATATTCTCCATTTATTGTTTCCCCAAACTTTCCATCAGGCACGCTTACTGCTGCCAGTAGTGTATCTTCTATTGGATTAGGGGTTGAAGCAGTAAGTTTTGTGACAAGAAAGGCATGCTCACCTTTGCCCCCTCCTTGCACGTTTATCACTTGGTTGAAGGTAATCAAATTATCTCGAAAGTAACTGCTGTCCCACATTTACTTAATAATTGCTTGCCTCTTTTCTAGCATGATTCAATAATGATTAATCATGTACAGCCTTTTCCAAAGTCGTCTAGACAGATTTAGCTTTGTTATTTTGCACGGTACTATAATAAGTTGTAAATCTGGCTGCCTAAATGTTTTGTTCCTTTTTGTCCTCTTAGCAAAGAAATCTGAATATTTTTCTCTTTCTAATCTAGGAAAGTAAGGCTGACAATAATGAATCTCTTACTCCTAGCAGTACCCCAACACATTCACGAAAGAATAGACGAAAATCCAATTTATTTGTAAGCTGATTTTAAACTCCACAAGATTTAAATTCGTTTTTCTATGCCTTTTTGTGGCCATATATATATATATATATATATATATATATATATATATATATATATATATATATATATATATATATATATAGAGAGAGAGAGAGAGAGAGAGAGAGAGAGAAGGGACGTGCTTGTGAAATTTTATATCACTGTTTTTTCCTATTTTCCACGCTTAACTTGCTAGCTCCGAACTCATTCAACGTTTATTTTTAAAGAAAACAGTTGTGAGTCTACATACTCTTCACTGGAATTCTCGTAGGCTTTTTTAACGATTTCTTTAAAAATGCTTAGTTTTTATTTTGTTTTTCGGGTTTTTACTGTTTCGTTTAGTGAAAAATATGCACATTAGTTTATTCGGTGTTAATGTCTTGTTACCTGATTAGCTGGCGAATGAAAAAAAGATTGTTATAATACAACAGTTTTATAATTATATAATCATTTGATTAGTCAAAAGGTGTTTAATTAAGTCCGACTGTTAGCTGACTCTTAGGTATTAGATTAGAAACTTGATTGCATCTCAATAAGTTCATATTCGTGTATTCGTATTTGACCCGTACCTTATGTTTGAGAGCTAGCGATACTGCCTGGCTTTCCAAATGGCGATTATGTGAAGTAGGACTTAAACCTGGGTTGCAGTGGTTGAAAGTCGAACGCCTGTACCACTAAGCCACTATTTGAATATACTGGCTCGTTATATGCAGTATAAGGTTTATTGTTGGTCAGTTTTGTACACATCTCAATACCTTTGTACCGCATTTTGGTGTCGTAAATAGAACTGTCAGTTTAATTTACCTGTTTGCCAGTGCCTGTTCTTGGCTTATGGATCACAACTTCATAATGAATAAAGCATTCAACTTTTAACCACTGAATTACAGGTTATTATCAGATCAGATTGTAGCTAGTTCGTTTTAAGTAAAAAATCAATCATAAAATGTACTCATGAGGCTTTACTCGGTTACTGATGTATAATAAATAGCCCATATTTAAAAATAGTCGAAAACCTGTTATTTTATTATTTTAATTCTGTTAAAACGTTATGTATACTAAGTTGTTAAAAAACATCATTCACGTATTTTGGCATGCTAATTTTAATAAAAAAATCCTTATATAATGAACATTACTATCCCATATTACTTTCTTCCTTTCATTTGCATTTACAAACTATATGACTTTACAATCTTTCTGTTTGTACTTTATTCATGTGTTCAGTCATGCTGAGTTTTATTTAGTTTAGTGTACTTAATGTGTCATTTTGATTTTGTCTATCTCGTTCTCGCCAAACATTTAAGGAAAATCGTCTACTTTTATCGAATTAGAAATAAACTAATTAAGATAATGACTGTTTTCTTTTCTTTTTTTTTTGGTGTCACGGATGGCTATCCACTGGCGAACTCATTGGTAGAATATCACAATGTTCTATTAACCTGTAAAAATTAAATACTCACATTTGTCATAGTTGTAGTCAAATGAATTAATTACAGATGTATATAATAATCAAGTGAACATTCACAGTTAAATTCACCTATGTGGTAGGAATATATGACTTAGGATGATAAGCTTGATGACATTGAATTCTCTGAGCTTGGATAGTTTAGTCTCTGAGTTTTTGATTTCCTTTCTGAACAGCATCCTTAGCACAATCTTCTAGTAGAAATGATAAATAGTTACTTGTGGAGAAACTGTTATAGTCCACTTTCATCTGGAGTGTATGTTGATGATATCTAGAAAATCAATGAAAGCTTGCAATTAAATTCTCAGTTCAGAAAATACAGTTTCACAAAAATTTGCCAATTTAAATATTTCAAATGAGATAAGATTCATTAACTAGGAAGTAATAGTTCACGTACCCATTTTCAAACCATACTATTCGAGTATGGTGCTTAAGTATGCAATTCAATAGTTGTTGTAAACGTCATATGTGCTTAAACCACTTCATGAGAAAATTAATTTTATTTTTCAAGCGAAATATACCCATGTAATTGTAATCAAAATTAAAATATTTTGCTTTGATTTTCTTCACTGAATATATAAGTTAATTTTAGAGTTTGTCATTATAGTTTTATAGTGAACTATTGTATTATCTACCATTTATTATTAGACATGTTTATCATAGAATCTCCGAAAGAGGTAGAAAAATAAAACAGTTTTATTCGAAATTCAACTTTATGGTTAGTGAAAGATTTTGTATCTTTTAGTGTATTTGAAACATACATGACTAGAGATGAAATCCATGATGTACGTTTCGTCCTATTCTGGACATGTCACCTGTATGTATGGACATCCGAGTGTTGTGATTCATATTGGAACTTGAACCCAATACCCGTTGTTTCAAACTCTAATGCTTTATCCACTGAGTTACTGAGTCTAGATAGCCATTAACTTGATTAAAATGTATGATATGACTTTATACTTAGGCAGTCAGTTCAGGATTTACATATGATAGCAAATACTGACAGTTTGCAGTCCAAAATATCAACAATGTGAAGTTATAAATCTTTACTAACATCACCATAGTTGTTGGACAGATTAGTGACTATTTGGATTCAGTAGCTTAGTGGATAACAGATTGTTGTTTGAGACGAAAGGTTCTGGGCTCGAGTCTCAGCCTCGACACCATAAATCTGGTGACACGTATAGGTGACGAGTCCCAAATGGGATGAAGCACGCTTACTAGACTCCAATACTATTCACTCTAATAAAACTTTGTGACTAAATGATCATGTCGATCCAGTCCGCTCAGGAAGTACATATGCCAGTGAATATTGATGGATTGGAGTCCTTAATGCCAACAACGGGAAAAAACAAACACTTTCAAGTTAAGCGTAGTACTTTTTTGACTTATCAACTAAAAATTTGTTATATATCATGGTCATTTACTGCTATGTTGCATTGTGTGTTATTTTAATGAACCATATCTTCGTAGTGAATCGTCCTGTTTTACATATTTCATGATTACAATTTCAATTCTTAATTTCAGCAAAAACGTAATGAAGATGAGCGTGAAAGAGAGAAGAAATTGAATGGAATCGGAAGTGGACGTGCGATTCCACTAAAGCAAGTGAGTATTTTCTTTAGTAATTATTCTAATTAAAATAGTTTTTCTATCTAGTACATGCTGTTAGCTGTACATAGTAACATGATTCATTGCTTAAGTTATAAGTGTATTGGCTGGTGAAAGCCAGATTGAATTATTCTAGTCTGGACCATCTTTGACGCCCTCGTAATGTTAATCTGGCTGTAAAAACTCAGATTTACAACGCGTCAGTGAAAGCAATTTTGCTCTGTGCTTATAAAACCTGACCTTTCCGACTTGAGGATTTTAAACGACTCTCTTCGTTTGATCATCGTTCCTCACAAAGGATTTCAGAGGCAATACCATGTTAGTAATGCAGAGGTTCGGCATCGTGTGTTTTGGCACAGCGACGATAATTCAGCTGGTATCACCATCTTGAAACACCAGTTTCGGTGGCTTGGACATATACTAAGAATGCCATCCTAGTGAACTTCACATCGTCCACTATTTGCCAACTTTGGGACTGGTCGAGAAGAGTGGTGAGGTGTTCACTTTATGATATTGTACCGTCGTATCAAAGAAAACTGCCCAGAACTGGGATTTGTTGGTCCGTCGCGACTTTCTGGTTCGGTCATAGTGAAAGTACAAAATAGTTGCTTGAGATGTTATCAGACATGGCTCAGAATAGAAGCCAGTGAAGGTCCTGCTGTAACTTCGCAATCTCATTTTGTTATTGTATGGTGCATGTTTATTGTGGTGTCCCTTTTTACCAATATTTGTGTTTAAATAAATAAATTTAGTCACGAACACTACATGTCCTGGTGAAATTGCACATCAGCATAAATGATCATAGATCATACGACAATATAGCCGAAAAAATCTACAATTCGATAGATAAATATTTGGAAATCGTGGTAACAATGAAATTGGAAAATTAAAGATGAGAAATGTAGTTCGAAGGGAATAAGCTTCGAAAGTGGGATAACATTAAAACGTAAGATTTATGGGAATATGAAATAAATATATCCACACCACTGGCTTGATTTAAGCTATGTAGTCCAACCCATCACTGTCATTGAATAGGTCTCAATCTCAGTTCAACTATCAACCACTTCATCAACTGACACCTTATCACGTTCTATCCATTATACTAGCATGATTATCAATTGATCTTTGAACTTTTACAACACTTCATCGAATCACTACAAAAATGAATAAACCACTTGAGTATCAACTACAATGTTTATTACTCGAATTCCACTCCACCTACTTCAATTTCAGAAGTCATTTAGGATCCCTATCTTTAACATTAAACAATATGTTTCAAAACTGAGTACACATATATTCACATTTCATAATTGAGTCACAATACTTTCTGTTAGCGGAACATAGACTGGCTTAAAGCAAGCTCAATGCACGATTGCTTTGGTGCACGCTGATTGGCTAATTCTTATCCAATCAGCACTAGGCGATAGTTGGAGAATACTCTGCAATCTTCTCATGTAAAAACTATAAATATACTAACGTTTTCTCTATTGTGCTTCTTACTTGCATCTTACTTCCATCTAACCTTGTTATTTGGAATATAATCTCTTTCCTGTTCATCAGTGTTCTGATTTGGGGTCTTGTCGGGTGATTTGGTGTCCAAGAATACTAAGCAATAGGTATAGCTGGGTCATACCGTAAGAAAAAGAGAGTATAACACTTTCTAACCGTGATACCTAATTAGTATTTTTGTAAAACATTCCAACTTCTATAATTTTTACGAATCATATAACGCATTTTTCATTCCAAAACAGTAAAGTAGTATACTGTTATATATATAATTTACCTACAACAATGCATTTATGCTTAGATGTTATGTATATTACTGTGCCATGCATCTCATCAGATAGACTGATTTTTTTCAAATAATACTATCATATTCATACTGTCTGTTAGACATAAATAACAGTAAAAGCACGTCAGTATTACAAAAAGCAAACACAGTCAGTCAGTCAGCTACAACGTAGGACCAGGCACATATGTGCATCGGTCCAGGTTGCCATACCTCATTAGCACAGCAAGATGAACACCGGATTCATAGGAGTGGTTAGGTCAAAGGTTGCAATAAGGATATAGTATAGGAAGAAAGAATTAGTTCGTAGACAGAAAGAATGAAGTGATTTTAGTCTCTTAGTTTAAGGGAAGACAGGGAGTGTATACACCGACGCCACTGTGATCGATTCTGAGCCATGTCACCAAGAGTCTCCAACCATTGGTTACGAAAGTCACGCGGACCCCAACCAAGTAGTCTGCATCTACCAACGTGGCTCAGACTAGAAGTTAGTGACTTCAGGCACTGATGCCACGTTTTGGTTTGGCCGCCCCTAACTTTCTTCCAACCATCCCAAAAAAGCAAACACACAGTCAATCCATTTGTCTCAGTTAATATGGTCAAGAACAATAACAAGTGATTATTCATATAAGGATGCTGTTTTTGGGCTTTGAAGGATAAAAGAGATTTGTTCTATGTTTTTCTTGTTTTAAACTTGTAATTAGATAATCTGAAAACTTTATAAAACAACAGTAACATGTTTCTAAGTAGTAGAAGTAGATTATTACGAAATTCATTAATGTGTTTATAAGGTGTAACAAAATAATAAAAAACAAATGCATTAAAATGTATATGGGTGTAGTTAAATTTTACAATGTCCGATTGTCCCAATAAATTTATGATTATTAATGTTGGAGTTGATGACGTTTTCTTTCTTTCTTTCTTTTCTCTATATTGGGGACACCTAATCGTAAAGGTCATAGCTATTAACTTGATTGAATAGCATTATAGACTACTACTGTGATTGTGACTGTTATTGTTTGTAATTTCATTGGATTTAATCTATGATTTTTTAAAATACTTTCTATTACTTATGCAGATCTATTCCCTATTTATCTAGTCGTAGAATTTAAGTTTCAAAATCAGTTTATATATCTTTTGTTCCGCAAGTTCACTCTTCTAAAGTCACTGGATTATACTCTTTAAACAACATCTTCAAACCCTAATCTTTCCGATTACTGCTAATACTCTTACCGCCTCTATCACTACGGGATTTGAATCGACAACTGCATCTCTGTGCTAATGTGTTGTGGCAACTCGAACTGATGTACGTACGTACGAAGTTGTACGTTGTTACTGACTGGATGTCTCTTCTAAAGTCATATTTTCTACACGTGATCTTCTTTTTCTATACATACATACATACTACTACTACTACTACCTCAATATTCATCTTGATAATTTCTTCTTTCTGTGTGACAAGTTGGAATGATGCCAGGTTTTTATATTCTTTATGACTGAATGGTGAGATTAAATTACTGCTTCTTAAAAAGGTGAAATTGTAAGTTTTACTAAAAACTCAGTTTGGTTTCATCATGTTCTCGAATGCCTGTAGTAAATTTAATGTTTTGATTGACCATTTCGAAATAAGCATCACAGTTACTGTCTACTCATACAACCTTGTTATATTTATCCCTGAGTAGGGAAATACGTACAGTTTTACTGTTCCCTTAATTAATTGCGTCAACAAATATTGTTTGGAATACTAGTTATTTAAAACAACTACTGCAGACGGTTATCGTAATGCACATATGCTATTGGTTAGTGATTCAGAAATTTTGTTCAGATGTATTTTCATCATTTGACTGAGTTTGTCTAAATTCTCTATAAAAAGTCGGTGTTTAGTTCTCGATATATAGGTCTCAGCGGTGATAATAAATCGGTTGATGCTTTGTTTGCAATTAAAAATGAGGATAGTTACCACTCTGAATCCCATTTGAACCATCTGACTGCATTAGATTAAAATGCAATCTAACTCATTTATGAAGCATATATTTGTTTATTTGTCTTCAAACATCACTGTTTGTATACGGACTGGTAATACTACATGACTTCCAAAACCGAAGTAAGGAGAATGAAGTTCAAAACGTTGACCAAATAATTGAAACCTGAATGTTTTAATTACCTCCTGTCTCTTTGGCTGTGATTTGTTTGAAAGTGAAACTATTTTTTTCTATCATAATCATTAATTAATATGTTTTGTTGAATACTTGTTGTTACACAATGAATTATAATGTTATTTTTTATTCTACACATTTAATTCAGGGATTTTTATACAAACGAACTTGTAAACCATTAAGTAAAGAATGGAAAACTAAAAAGTATGTAACTCTAACAGATGATGCTCGTCTTACTTATCATCCAAGTATTCATGTAAGTCTCTTAATTAATAGATTGATGTTTCATTGTTGTATTTCCTTTATAAAGTTAATCTCACTGATTTAACTATGTATTAATTTCTTTTTTAGAAATCATGGTTTAATTAATTAAATAGAAATACATGTAGAGAGTTTCTAATGTACTCGGTACTCCTGTCGCATTTTTTTCATGTCATCAGGTTTACTGACACCAGTTTGTATAAAGCGAAACTCTTCGTTGAGTTAGTACTCTTGCTACCAAACACCTCCTTGTGTCAAATTACTGAAGCATTTTTTTACACAACCTGGAACCACCGAGTAAGTAACGCAGTTGTTAGGAAACAGGTACTAGGTAAGGATGGCAAATGAATTGGTGAAGTAGTGAAACCTCATGAGTTGTCTGGGATGGCTGGGACATGTGTTACGTATGCCCAACCACCAACTGCCCGGACTTGTGATGTTCTATGGTGTAGGAGTAGGTTGGAAGAAAGGTGGGGGCGGCCAGACGAAAACATGTCAGAAATCCATGAAGTGACTGTCAAGTGGACTGAGTGATGTTGGTAGGTGTAGACTATCTGGTTGTGGGGATCTGAGAGATGATAGCAACCGATGGTTAGAGACCTTGAATGACATGGTTCAAAACAGTTTGCACTGGCGCAGGTGCATTCACTCTTTGTGTTCTCTCAAATTCTAATCTTCTGAATTCTTCATGTCCCCGTTATTTCCCAAATTGATTTCACTGGATTATACTCGTTGAATAACATCTTCAAAACCTAATGGTGCCGATCACTGCTTATATTCTTACTACGTCTACCACTATGAGATTTGAATAGACAATTGTATCTGTGTGTTAATGTGGTATGACAACTCGAACTGATGTACGCATATACGAATGAATGTACAAGTTAGTAGTTAGAGAAGCTCAATACTTACTATCATGTTTTTGTCACTAACAATTTTTTGTTTGTTTGAATAAATATGTAAATAACTGGAATGACAGTTATTTACATTTGTTTATGTCAATTGTTTCACACTATTTCTTATCTCAATGTAAAATTCTATTACATATTTGGTTGTAAGCAGCTGACGAGAAACCTCGAAATATTATGAATTCATACTATTCTGCATAAATATTTGTTCTTGCTTTATTTAAATTCATAAAGGGAACTAATTGCATGAAACCTTATTTATAATCTTAACTATTTCTTAGTCTACTAGGTTGACGATGGAATTGGTTAATTTGTTGCTTAAATGCTACCTATTAGACTTTTCTGATTTCACATAGACTTCCTCTTATTTACCTCTTACAGTACCCGCAAGCATAGATCACGATACAATGCAATTAAATAGGAATACAAATTACATAAGTCTGTTTAGTGAGGTCGAAGAGTTTTTTTTAAACACTTGAAATGAGAATACAAATCATTTGAGATGAATTTCTCTCTTTTCATTATAACAATCCTTACTCCTAAATTCACTTGGTGTTGATTTACTTGTATTTTCCCATTGTTATTTAGGACTGCAATTGATCAGTCTCATGTTGGCATATATGCATCCTGTGCGGATCGCCTAAGTCACAAGTTTTTTAAGCGAAAATGGATAGTGGCTAGCAGTGAAATCCAGGACTCGCGTCTCGTCTTATTTGGGACCCGTCAGCTGGATGTTCCTGCATCCCAGAGTTGATATTCACTTTGGGACTCGAACCCAGTACCGTTCGCTTCAAACAACATCGCATCCCGGAGTGAATATCAATTCTGGGATGTAGGTAAATCCAGCTGACGAGTCCCAAATAGAACTAAACGCGCGTCCTGATTTCCACTGCTAGCCACTATCCATCTTTGCTTAAAAATCCTTAGTCCTGTTTATAAGAAGCAATCAAGTCATTAAACACATCGATCTTTTCTGTTACTTCAAAAATTTGTATCAGCACTTATTGATGCGTTCATTCATTATCTTTACTTAATCTGTCATTATCTATACTGGTAAAAGTCTTTATTTTAGGTCACTCCAGTTGTTGTTGTTGTCATAATGTCGGATAAGATTTTATCATGAATTTATCTTTCACTCAAAAAATAACTTGTTAACACATTTCTTTACTGTTATTCTTCTGTTAGTCAGTTTAGTTTCATTAAGAATTCATTAAATATTATATTGAATAGTTTCTAGTAAAAAGAAAAAACAACCTGAACAGTAACCATGTATATTGTTGTATGTATGAATAAAATTTCTAACATATGTCCAATAAATTGATTCATCTGTGTGTTTTTTGTTGTTGGTTGCTTATCATTAATGATGGTTGGCTGTATCTGAACAAAGAAATTTTCCACTGGGATAAATTTAACATCTTATTAGGTATACAAGCCAGTAAATACTTACTAAATAGGTTGAATTTGTACATTATATGTATATATATATGGTTGTTTTAAAAGAAACACTAAAATCCATATGTTAGAGAACTTAAAATGAGGAAAATATATTGAAATATTGTTACGCTTATAGACTAGTCTTGTCTGATTTATACATTTCCAACAATCTGTACAGTTTTTGTTGTTACTGTTGTTGTTGTTGTAATTTATGATCCTTGTAAATTATATCCAATAGTGATCAAGTCGTTTGTATGGGGTTTCATATTGGTATATCAGTTAGACTGTACAGTACGAATGATCTGTCGACTACTTTCATGCATCATATCGACCGATATAATGAAATCTGAAAATGGATCTTTTTATCACTGGTAATACTCTGTATCAAATGTAATGTTAGAGTCAGGATGATAGTTGAAATGAGTTATCCTTTAGGCAGTACTATCGACAGAATACATATCGAAAATATTAATAACAGTCAAAAGTGCATAAAGATGGGATCTATACAGTTTTAAAATTCGCTATTAGTCGCACTGATTTCAGTCGTTGATCTTCAAGTAGTTTAACTTTGATGATAACCATAATTCATGCCAACTTTGTCACTAATTTATACGCTTTGAAGATACGGCAAATCGGTTTGAAGTTTTATAACGAAATAACTTCTTTTCCTTTTTCTTCATACTTAACTAGTACATAAGTCGAATCTTGAATTGACCTACACATTGTACCAATGATGATTAGATAAAACTAACAACCATTATATGTAACTAAATTAGCATTACTTTTATAGTAGAGGCGATAAACCGACGTTCAATGTTGTAAAAATAAGTAATGCTCCACGTGGAGGAATTCGGGGTGAAAAATGTATTCGAATATTACAATAGGTAATACAGACAGTCACTTGGAAATTGAGGCATCTGGAACATCATCTTCAAGTGCGGTAATAATGTTACTTCTTTGGGGTCCACTCAGCATTTCGCCACTCGGGATAGATAAGGATCACACCCTTTCCTTACTCTAAAGTTCTCATTCAAAGGAACAGACTCTTCTATTCCTCATTCGACAGATTCTAAAGTCTGCGGAATAAACTGAGAGACATTGGAGCGAGAGTATTTCAGTGGTACAACTGGCTCTTAAAACATCGTGTGATCTTTGATAATACACGCTAACATCTATATATAGGTCCATTATTTAGTTTATAAGTTCCTGTTGCGCTGCTGATCATATCCCGTTTATAATCAGAAACAACCTCTATATATTTCATTTTATACTAAACATTTTCTCACAATCACGTGGTTAGAGTTGTTTATTCGCACATATATTAGATTGTTTTGACGATCTGTTCTGCTATTGATTTTTGCGTTTTTACTTAGGATTATATGGACAATTCACACGGTAAAGAAATTGACTTAAGTAGAACAACTGTGAAAATTCCTGGTGTAGCATTTCGTCAAGTTGGAAGTCGTATAACAAGTAATGGACTGTTGCGAAGTCAATTAAATGATGGCGGTACAGGTAATTATGAGATACTAAATAACTACATTCTTATCAAATATTTTTCTTTAATTTGTTGGCGAAATAAGATGTTTTTCACTTGTTTTTAACTTGTCATCAGTTGATTTTGTCGTCTTTCGTAGATCCTATTTTCACGTCCATTCACACTTGTTCGCCTATTGAAATTCACTTTTAAAATTTTCAGTAGACATATTTACTATGAATAGTTATGTAAGTTTTTTAAGGTTTTACTACTGCAAACAATAAGTGACTGGCGTTTTTCCCCTATTCATTTGTGCTGAGTTCGTATAAGGGATAAAAAATAGTTCCATTTATTAGTCCAATAAAGCATAATTACGTAGGATAGGTCATTATTGCTTTTGAAGTTGTGAGTACAGAGAACACAGTTTATAAAAGATGAACTAAGTAGACCGGAAACTTCAGTCTTAGTAAACGTAGTAAACGATAATATCAATTAATCAGGAAATTTTCGGCGTCCTTTCAATAGGTACTTTAAATTTCTCTGATTTTGGTTGGTTGGTTGCTTTGATAACCCTAAATTGTTATTCAGTTTGTGTAACTAAACCTAACGATCATTATATTGGTATTAAATATATTCTATCGGATCTTCTAAACCATTATCCTCTTTTGTGTATATACTCTTTTTCCTTAAATTCTCTTTGTTTGTTTTTTAATAGATCGTCGATCAACTGGCGTAGATGTTAAGAATCCTACTGAAAATTCAGCCCCTATTAATGATAATTCGGCATCAGGTCAAAAGCATTATTTTATATGTCTTTCTCTTTATTTGCTAAGTTTATTTTGTCAGAAGTCTACTTTCAATTTTTCGTGTTATTCTATTAGAACTATTCTTCACTAAATGTGTGAAGTTATATGAGATCAACTTAACATCGATTCCGGTTGCTTTTCAAAGTAACACGGAATCGTGACTTTGATTACCATCTCCTTTTCTGTAGTCTATACATATTATTACTTCTTTTTCTTTTAATTTCGACCTGTTTAATTACTTGTTCCAGTGTTATTTTTAGTGGTTTGCTTGACTCTATGAAATTTTCATTTACGTATGTTGAACAATCATTAATTTTGAGTTATTAGTAGATGATTTATTCCACCTGCACTGATCAGTCAATCATAAATGATTTAGAAGTTATCGCAAATAGTGTTTCATTGTAAGTTTTACATATTTCATATCATCTGAACTAGATAAGTAGTTAACATGATCGGAAGGGAGAATAACATTAACAAGACGACCGTGATATTAGTCACTGTCCAGTGATCAGTCAATTATAAGTACCTCAGATCTACAAGAGGTTGGTCGCGACCACAATAGTTCAAAAGTAAAGTTTCAGATTGCAAAATTAGGTGACATGAAATCAAATATGCCAGTTTCTTCAAGGTTACGGTTACACCTTACTAACGAATTCCATTCAAACTTAAACTTAGGTTCAGAGTTTCCTGTTGGCTGCCTCCGATCATCCAATAGGGATAGCTTAAAATACGTACTAGATGACGTACAAAACTATGTAATGACTCAAAGATCAGAATTCACCATAAAGTAGAGAATATACGCAACTGTGCCACTGAGGATTGTTTTTAACTAACAACTCTCTGACTGCAGATTATGATTATTCTATATATTCTAACTGGGCCATTTGCACCAGCTGGTTCGTCTTGGTTCATTAGTAGTTTGCGAGTTTTTTTCTCACCCTCAGCATTTTTCGAAATCATTCCTGCCCCAATAATCTGCTACTGAGATTACAAATCACAGATCTTCATGTTCTGTACACAATGTCGTTCAACTACTTGTGTTTAAGGCACATTTTTTCATGAAAATCAGTTGTTTTGATTTTACATGCTCTTTCTCGCAGTCTCGATAGGTAAAAATTGTCTTTTGGGATGAAAGTGTACAAAATGTATATTGTATGAATATAAAATTAACTGACCAAATGCATTCACAACTTCAATAGTTGAAATCATGAGTCGATTGAAGCTAACCCACCATCGAAAACCTGGAGGCACTGGACGGCCGTTTCGTCCTATTGTGGGACTCCTCAACAGTGCGCACCCATGATCTCATGATATCAACTATTGAAATTACCACAATCTCCACAAAACCCTTTCTGATGCATTCATAACTGTTCATGGGCTAAATGCTTCTCGCTCCACATAAGATTACTAATTAACGCGTTTTTCAATTCATGTCTCTGAGATGCACATCACATTATGAATTCTTAAGGAAAAATGATTTAATCATGTTTCGGTAATCCATAACAGTTGTGTGCTAACTTCGAGATTGTATTCAACCAATCTTTGCTATTAGTTTATTTCTAATTTATTAATCAGTCAACCATGAACAATGTGGAAATTAACACAAATATCCACTAAACAAAATTACCACATTTTTAAAAAGCACAGATAGAGATAATTAGGAGGATAGATAATGAACGGGTCAAAGTATTATCAGTGGAATCCAAATAAATCATACAGAATACACTTCGAAAGGAAACAAAGCAATTTCGAGCTGACATCAGTCAATCTTTGATAAAATCTACATCTACCGCAAACAAACAGCATATTGTTCACTTGTTTAATAATTACCTAATTTTTCTCTTCTGTGTGACAACTTTTCATTCAATTTATTGTATAATACTGAACGAGCGTTCGATTCATTTTTGATTGTTACCTTGTCTACTGTTCTATTCGTTGTTATTTATATAATTGGCACGTACTTTGTTACTTATTTTAGTATCTATTCATCTCACATTTTTTTATCGGTTTATTTTACCTATTTCTCCTTTTCCCTTCCACCTCGTCCTATCCTGTCTCACTGTGTGGTTTGTTGTTCGCTGTTTTTTCTACATGGAAATAATTACCGATACTGCACAAATTGATTCGTCTTGTTAAAAATGGTTCTTCAATATTTCTGTATTCATTTAAAGTAAGTAAAACATATTTGAAAATAACGTTACAATTTATTTGGTACATCTTTTAAAGTTCATGCTAAGTGAAATGAACAGAAATAAAATGATTTTTGCCTACGTAACATATTTGTCTGATCTGATATTTCGATTAATAATACCGTTGTCAAGTAGAATGATGATCATAGAAACACACGTATTTATTCTTACTATTCAAACAACAGTAAAGGGAACAGGTTTTGAACTTGTGACCCAGTGTTTGAAAGCCACTTTCTTTAATCATTGGTTCTTTGCTTAGGTTTACTCGCTAAACAACTGATCTCCAATTATGATTATGTGAAACACCATTCTCATACTTATATTGATTTATGGGGATTTACCATTATTCGCTTGTGAGAGTAAACCTACAAAAATAGAATTGTCCTATTGTTATCTGAGTCAAAGCATGGAAAAGCGAGCTTTCACAATCAGCAAGCTGAAATATTATTCATCTTCTGCTGGTGATGATAGCCTGTGCTAACTTTTGGTGCCGTCCTGACGTTGATCTGGTAGGAAAACTTCACTTGAGCAAGGTACTAATGACGGCACTTTTTCGCTATGCTAGTGAAACTTGGCTTCTTAGTGTGTCTGACGACTTGCTATGTACAACCATAGCTGTCTCCCATAAATTGTTAATATCTGTCGACAGTTCTTTGTAAGCAATACCAAGTTTTTTGCAGTTTATTATTTGACTCTGTGAAATGAGAGATGGCTTTTTGAGAAAGATCTATTGGTTATTTACAATCTCAATATCACCTCAAAGGCAATCCGAGCATCGAGCTCTATCAAACTTAGCTTGGTATAAAAACCAATGCTTATTCTGTTATAAGTTTTCTATCTCATCTTGGTTGTATTTTTTGCTAAAGTGTATTTTGTGATGTGATGCATTCTTCATGTGTTTATTATAAAGTCCCATACTTCTAGAAATTTTCTGAGATTCCCTCGACCTAAAATTTTGACCTTCTTTCAGTCGAATTTGTGTCCATGGTTGTTCCTATTCATTGATACCTGTGCTAGTATATCATATCACCTCATTGCTGATCTATGTTCATTCATGCGTAAGTAAAGAGCAGGGCCAGTTTGTTTAATGTAACACTTCTTGCAGTTAATGAAGTCTATTTTATAGATGATGTGTCTTCCTTTACCGTTGTGTCTTTTGTTCTTCATAGAATGAAATCAAATGACTGCTCGCTTGTGAGTAACATTAATTCGAAAGAGCTTCATAATCCTTGTAATCGTTTTCGAGATATTTATCACACATGGTAGTACGATCCTTTTCTTGCTTTCTGAGTTTAGTTTTCTGACAGTATGTCGATTGGCCTGTCATCTTTTGATTGGGGGCAGCCGTTATTACGAAAAATGAACTGGAGATGATTTTTTTTCAATTTTTCGTGCAATGAGAGTACTGCAGTGTTTTATAAATCTCTTCGTTGTCGTCTGTATTAAAATACTAGTATTATTAATTGTTAATGCTGTTTACCATTACTATTTTTTAATGCATCAATTAAGCAGTGATAGTAAATTGTAAATACCAACTTGAATTGATTTTCCTGCCTACTCGTTGATTGTTTTTATTTAATTCATTGTTTCATGTTACTTTTTCAAGGTCATGTGATTGCTACCCATTCGATCGCTTTTTCTAGATTCATTGAATCTCTCTGACAGAGACAATTCTTTAATTCTTATTACATATGGTCTAATCCTTTAAGTGTCATTACGTATTAGGATTGATCGATTTAATTTAATCTGTACTTGATCCCTCATATGAGTAGTATAAGCTGACCATTTTCTCAATACAAACATAATTTCCTTATAATTATATCTTGATAATCTGTTCTAAACCTTATTTTACTGTTTAGTTTAATTTACTAAACTCTAGAGATTTCTATCATGATATTGATTTTTGTGTGCTTAATGTTTATTTATTTAACATAAAATTATATATTGAAGTAACTTTTCCTCACATATTGGCGTTGTCAGTTGGCAGGATTAACGTTGTATATTCGTTACATAAATATTACGGATTGAATAAAGTCTGGAATATTTTCTGCTAAATTCTGTCTCAGTCATCTGAATGTATATAATACTCTCCAAGATAATTAAAAATTCATACTTCGATTGTAAGCGTGTGAACTGTTGAAGAAATAAAATCACAAATAGCTTCAGTAGAATAACTTTTGAATCCTCTCCGATGTCGAATACAGGGTTTCACATAGTTAGAATTCTTTTAATAAAAAAAACTCAAGTTGAATAATATTTACAAACTCTTTATCCAAATAACTTTGTTTTGCTTGACTTTTTTCAGTTTAACTTCGTGAAAACTTCTAACAGGAGGTAAAGATTCATCATCCGTGAAAAAACGTCATCGACGTATTAAATCTAATCCAAAGAGTAATAATGCTGATGGTTCAGGTGATTTGACTGTTTTGTCCTTACACTATTTTCATCAGTTTATTCGTTTATTTTTTTACTGTTTTCATTATCGGCTACGTTATTGTTGCACTTAAAAGATGATTCTATCTAGTTAGTCGTAATCAATGTAAAACCTGGAGTATGTGTCTATCACTCCAAGTGACCACTTCACATCAACACAGCGAGATCAAATTATCGAGATAAATACCAAAACAGTGAAAATAGTCGTAGTAGCGGCAATAAAGAGGATCAGGGATAGAGAATACAATCCAAGAAAGAGCATTAAACTGTTGGAATAATAAACGTAAAATGTTTTTGAACCCCTAAGATCTAGGTCAAGACAAAAGGTAAGCCTGTCTGGGCCAGTGTATACGATTCTGATTAGATTTCACACAAGGTCAGCAACTACTAATCCCAATAATAATTCAGACCTTAACATAGTAGTATAGATTCACTTATATGGTTCAAACCAGCAGTTAATAACTTCATGCCAAAATTTACTTTGGCCTCCTGTAGCTCCCTATGAACATCGCTCACCGAATCAGGTAACTATCGTCTACTTATACCATTCAACCTTATGTTCTTTCATTTTTATGTAGATATTTATTAGAGTCGACTCTATAATCTAACTTAAGTGGTTCTATTTCTTACAATTATTAGTTTGACACATTTTTATAATTTATGTACTGCAAATAAGATGAAGATTAGTGGAGAATATCTCAGTTTGTAGGATGGTATTCGTCTACCTTAAATCAACCGGTTTGCATTCATTTAGATTTCCAACATCAGTAAGATTCTCCACAATAGCATGAGATTTAAACATTGATCACAACGGATGATCAGTAAGTATTGGAATTTAAAATACCTGAAGTAAACATCAGTTCTCTTTACTATCTTTAGTTAATTGATTGTTTCAAAAAAATTTTCATTAAGACTAATTATTTCACCGATATATGGATTTTCCTTATCAGATTCCGAAGGTTATGAATTTCAGTTGATATCAATGGATCGTCAGTGGCATTTTGAAGCAACTGGTCCAGATGAACGAGATGAATGGGTTATGTATATTGAACGTGCTATTATGACAAGACTTCAATTGAATGAATCATCTAAACGTACTCGTGCTATTGCTGCTACTGGGTGTACTACAGGAGGTGGCGGTGCTAGCGGTTCCAACCACCTTTCCAATGTTAGTGGATTAGGTTCAGGGAGTGGTCGACATGGTGATTCCAACAGTCTTAATTCAAGTCGTTGTGGTGCAGGTGATGCAAATGAATTGGCTGTTACAGAGCATTTAATTCAGAGCATAAGATCTGCAGCTGGAAATGATTTTTGTGCAGACTGTGGTGCACCAGGTAAGGTTGATGTTTTTCATATGTAAAACTTGTAGGTCCCGAATTTCTAGTTAAGTTAATCACTGTTTTGTATTGTGTATATTTGCGTGTGTATAGATATTAAAATTTTTTTACGCAATTGATTACAGTAGAAAGAAGTTTTTTACACTCATTTTGCTCATCATATAATGAATTCATCGAATTAATCCGTTTCACAATTTTCAATAGTGGCCTAGATAAGTTTTTTAAAAAAACCCAATGAAGTACTTACATAAACTAGTTTGTCTAGAATGTTATTTTACATTCCATTTCTCCTGTTTACTTTTAACAGTGTATCTTCGCTAGCTAAAAATACAAAAAATTCAGTGAAGAATCTCAAAACAAACGTGTCACTAATCGTACGTCGTATATTAAAATACGCGATTATTAGCCACTAGTCTTTATACAGTGGTAAAGAATGTTCTTGATATATTTATGAACTAACATGACTGAAAAGTATCATAAGTAATTGTATTCTTGCAGATCAGGTCTAGTCCATATATAAGTGTTTGTATGTTAACTTGGTTTCTCATTCTTACAGTGCTTGAATAAGATTTTTTCGCTTGGCGTTATTTAGTTAGCTTGTAATAATTATGTCACGATCTTTTCACTTTATTTAAACAAAATATTTGTTTTTTCGATAGTTTTGGCTCATTCAGTCAGTCACTTGATTTATTGATTTAAACCCGAATCCATCTAGATATTGTTGTTAGCTATGTTGGCAGATACAAACTAGCTGGTTGTGGTTTGTTTTGTTAATTTGACTAATGGTTGGATATGTTGTGTAATTTGACGTAGCTCAGAATTTCTCACATTGGTGCAAATCGGTTCACTTTTTATCTTCCCTTAAATGTTGCGGTTCAAAATTATTTTATACTTTTTATTTGAAGAATTCATTATTTCTTGTTGAATGATAATCCATCCCTAGTCTTTTTTTATCGCTACCGATATCTCTTTGACTCTCACCATTACGGGTATTTACCTTAATAATTTCATTCCGCTGTGTACGGCCGAGAATGGGGACAGTCCGCTCTCCCTCTCGAAATGCTCTCACGAGGCCACGCGTATATAGCCTCTGCCAGGGAAGTCCTACTCACTGCCTTCTCGTGGCGGGGTTGTTGTTTACAAAATTGAGAGGACGAAAAGCGAATGTCCGACACTTTAACCGGGTTGATGAACACGGAGAGTTCACCTAGGGGAGTTGGAAAACCCTGATTCCAAAGCAGTGGTGCACATGGGCTCCACTACTCTGAGGGAACAAATGGCGTATGAACCAATTATTGGTCACCGACTACCATGGGACTGCATCTCCTTACGATGCTCTACTACCTTGTGGATCGGATCTATAGGTCAAAGGCTCCAGGTGTTGCTCCCTAAGAAAACCACCTGATTGGGTTTGGGCACCCGGGCAGTATCATAGCCCTCACACAAATCAAATGAGATTTGTGTGGCACATATTTATCTGGTGCCCCCTTGTACCAATATCTGTGTGTTCAAATAAATAAAATAAACTTGTCTGCTACGTGCCGATCCATATATATATAGCAAAATAGTTCCCTATACTTGCGATTGGGGAGAGTTACATGGCTGTTTTGCCGTTGAATTCTTGAGAAATTTAATGTCAGTTATTTTTTATGGTGTACCTCTGAATAGCGATTTCTTTGAATATATACTATTTTAGCTTCTGTGGTTGTGCGCCATTAACTAGTGAAGAGATACTTATACATTAGTTTTTAAGCTTTAAAAATTAAAGATATACAATATTTGATAATCCCTACAAGGAGTAAAAAATGCATTTAATACTAAGTTTGTGTGTGTGTTTTGATTCAAATTGAAGTGTTAAATCCTTGTATTGAAAGTCAAGACACACTTTTCATTCTGTATACAACTCGTGAACTGAATATACCTGCATCCTAGTGTTGATGTTCTCACTGATACTTGAACCCAGTATTTTTGGCTTTAAACACTAAATCCATGTCAAGCCAGTCCACTCGGATTACATGTATGACAACACTAACTGATCAACTGTAATTGTGAATATCAACAGTGATAAAGCAAACACAATTAGTACAAGTTTTCTTTGCTTGCGTACACCTGCTACTCCTCGTTGGGTATAAGCTGCTGACAAGAGAACTTCAACCATTTCTATCTCGAGCTCTACTTTCTAGTTCTTATCAGGTGCTATCAATTCCTTTGATGCATTCCTCCAAGTCTAATAGTAAACTTAAAGGCATCTCCCTTATTTTACCACATTTACTTCTCAGTTTATCTCACTATCTATCAATTAAAATCTTTATATATCTCGAATCTTGTATCTATTTTTATTCATTCTAGATTGACAAGAGTAACAGTATTTTACATACAATCATCTATTAATCTTTTAATGATCAATTTTAAGTTTATTTTTATTACTACTATTATTATTGGGTGTGATCTACTTGCATACATTATCTACTATACATTCATGTAAAACTGGTTATTAGATATTCATTCATTATAAAACAGCTCGATCATTACTAGTATCATTCTTATTATTACTATTGATTAAAACAAAACACAAATAGAAACCACTCAATTTTACTTTTTAACAAAAACCTTTTCTCTTTGTACATGTATGTGTATATGTTTATTATTACTAAACCTTACATGTGTATACGTGAATGAACAATGAAAAACAGGGACAATACTTATTCAGTTTTGGTTCATTTAGTTTTATGCAAATTGTGCATGTTTGTTTTCTACAATCTTTCAATTATTGTGTTGTTTTTTTTTATATGATCTATTCATATGTACAACCAATACAAATGCTACAATGTCAGTACACTTTCCATTCACTAATTATGTATATATATATTGTCGGTAAAGAGGGGGTTGTGGAGATTGTTGAATTTCATTAGAATCATGAACCGATCCAATTTGACTACCATTGAAAGCCTAGAAGCGTTGCACCGAATTTTTGTTTCGTCCTGGTATAGGACTCAGGCGTGAGCATCCACGATCATGAGCGGGACTCGAACCCAGAACTTTCTGTCCCGCGTACTAATGCTTAACTTCTAGACAGCTGATTCCAGATCAAACCGTTCTAATGTCTAAATTCAATCAATCCACGGCACTGAGCGACCGTCCTGGGTTTGATTGCCGCGTATGGGCTCGTAGACGCTCACTTCTGAGGAGTCCCAGACTACGACTACACGGCCGTCCAGTGCTTCAAATTTTTTAATTATGGTCTAACTTAGATCGTCCAGTGATATATGTTTTCGATGTTTATATCATTTTTTGGATATTTTTAAGTTCAATTCTTATCCATTCAGCATTCATAACAAGTTCTTGACCGTTAATCTGAACCATATTGATAGCTTCATGCTACCTAGTTTGTGTTCGCACAATAACTCCGACCTGTGATTATGGATGTTAAGCAATGTGACTTAGAATCGATTAAAATGAGTCAGATATTGTAATCTTGTATCTTTTTTTAGATTTTGGGTTCTAGGATTCCTTCGGACATGTCTTCTCATTTCTTTTCTCTGGAACCTCGTTCTCAATGTTTAGTACTACGATTATTGTAACTCCTTTGTTATTTATTTTTAATTTCATCCTGTTATACTTAGATTATGTAGTAACATGATGAGAAACACACATTTCTGTCACACTCTTTGTTGTTTATCACTAACTCGTAGCACTTTGGAAACCATGAGAAATTGTGAAGTGTATATTGAATGGACGTTGTGACTTCTCAGTTTGTGCACACAATCAATCCATTCAGTTTTCGTAACATTTGCCATACTTCTATATTAAAACCAGTTTTTAGGTATTTTCAACTTCAGTTCATGATATTACTTGTCTATCAATTGACTCACTCCTCATGACGTACAAGTGAATTTTTAACTCTTATTATTTAAAGAGTTCACCCAATAGCATATAGTCATTTTGTTGAAAATGGTATGAAACACTTATTATTCAATAAATTCTGAATTATTCTATTTTAGAACCAGATTGGGCAAGTCTTAATTTAGGCGCTATGGTTTGTATTAGTTGCAGTGGTATACATCGGCAACTTGGAACACATATTTCACGCATACGTTCTTTACACTTAGATGAATGGTCTACTGAATCGGTCACTGTAATGAGTGCTATTGGTAATACATTAGCTAATTCTGTTTGGGAAGCTGCTGCACCTGTAAATGCTGGGAATCTACGGTAAATTTAATAATGACCATACATGATGTGATAAGTTTTAGATATTTTGTTGAAATATTGCAGTATTTATTCTTATAAGTAATTATACCACAATGGTACTAACATTTACTTCATGTTATCAACATAACATGATGTTTGAATTTTAATAGTCTTATCTTGTTAAATTAGTATAAGTTCCTTAGAATCTTCAAATGTTTATAGTGTGTTACCATGGTATGGTCATCCATTTGTTCAATGGTTTTGTAATTTCTATGAAATTTTTCAATAATGAGCATTATTTTCTGAAGAATTAATAGGCTGTCATCTTTTAGCTTTTTATGAAACACCACCAATTGTACACTTCACACTTTTTTCGTAGTATAGTATATACTCACGTCGTCCTCAGAATTTGCATCTGATTTTGATTTTTGCAATACCTAATAATAGCAATGAGCTGATGCACATCTCCATAGGATTCATTGGTCATTCAGAGAAATTTTTGTATGTCTTTAGAACCCTACGTTATTATCAAAGTCAACTGCTCATTCTAGGAGTACCAGTCTTGCGTACTATCATATCGTCTGTATACAGTTTTATGTTGATATATTTGTGTCCAAACATCAGTTGTATGTAGCTACTTTCTCATAAATGATTGTACTAGATGTTACTTAATGAGCAGAAGTGATTCGGATTTAGTTTTTAAAGTTTGTCGTTTTTGTTTTCTCCAACTGTCGCCATCTGTTATAATGACAAGACTTACACTTGACTATCAAACTGTATATTTTGAATACCTATTAAATTTATACATCTACTGCCTACCTCAACTTGGATTGCGTGACCATCAGATTGAATAGGTTGTACGGCAAGTATTATAAGTCAGATTTATACAAAATGATAAGTTGACTAAATTTACGAATACCATTTTAGTAAGAAACATTTTCTATGTCTTTAACTAACTTGTAGATCTTTTTATGTGTTAAGCTTATTACTTATATTAGGTTACTTAACAACTAATCAAGTGACGGACTACTTTTCAATCGTATGTTGAAAAATTAAACTATCCTTGTATTGTTTTCTTTTTCAAATGCAATATATAAGCTTTTGACAACGACTTTATTTCCCCTATTTTTATAATAAGTTTACTTTTATTGTTATTAATCTGATGATTATCAGAAAACCAAATCCTTCAAGTTCACGAGAGGAAAAGGAAATTTGGATTCGAGCCAAATATCAACATCGAGAATTTCTGCCTCCATTACCCTATCCTGATGCTCCACTTCAACGACAGTTAATTGATGCAATAGCTCGTCAAGATACACGTCAAGTTATACTCTGTCTAGCTTTAGCTACACCTGAAACAGTCAATGCAGCTTATTCACTTCAAGATCCACGAGCAGCTATACACATTGCTGCTACTCTCGGAAATCTAGTTTATTTACAATTGCTTTTATGGGTAAGCTTTTTGTCCACAATATGGTGATTAACTGCGAGTTTTCCCTGTAATAATTGTCGAAACCTCCTAGTTAGTAAATATAATTTAAAACGGTGTATTTTCAGGGGAATATAGGTAATAATTTGAAGGAAGACATGTTGAGGATAGTATTCTTCATTTAAGATTGACTTTCCGTCATAGTTGTAAACTGCAATTAGATTCAAGTAACATAGGACGTCCCAGGTTTTAAGCAGTGTAAAGAATGTAAAGTTATCATGGACGAACTGTCAAGGCTACAGTTCATTATCTCATCTAATGGATTCTCCATTTTACCTAATTCCAAGATTGTTCACATGATTATCCGAATTTTCTCTGTTACCTGTCGGATAAATGTTGGCTTTTTATCTTATTTATATTCGTCAAAGTAAATTTCCTCACTAAATGCACTGTTAGTCGTACAAGTACATGTATTTTAGTCTCACCATTTCAATTGTGAAATCTGTCAATTTTTTTCCATGCATATAGAAATTTCGTTAATTCCCCATCTAAACTATTAAATTAGATCACGTTTCACAGTAAGTGGTTCTAACATCGTATTTCTTTTATATTCCTCTCTAGTTACATCCATCGTTGATTACTATAACTTCATCAGCATCAAACTAAAAGCCGACCAGAATGGATTTTTGTTACATTAATTTGTGTGAACGATAAACATTAATTGTTGTACTTCTTCCATACTGTTTCATCAGCGGTTTGCATATTACTACTACATGCATTGTGAGGTGGATTTGAAATGTTCACTTCACCAGGTCATGTAAAAATTGAACGAATAGTTTATTTTATTAGCACTGGGAATGTTGTATTTATAAATTTATTTAACTTTATACTAAGTTTATCTTTATTTCTTTTCATAAGTAGTTTGTTAACATATTTTCGCTTATGAATTTATTAAACTCAGACTTGATTTTATTCTATTTCTCTTCATTAAAGTACAATGGTGATCCAACTGTGACAGATCATGAAGGAAGAAATGCATTCTATTACGCTCATTGTTCTAAAAATTATGATTGCGCTGATTTCCTGTTGCGAAATAGTTGTCCAAAACAACTGGTACCACCCATTCCTCCTAATAATATGCCTCCAACAATTCGTTCTTCACAAAATATTATGCCGCAACAAATTGTTCAGTCACATTCCATAATTCATGGACCTTCAACATCGACTGGGCTTTCATCTGGTGTTGCAGACATGAATATTAGTAATAGTATAAACTCAGGTCTTGTACAACCTCATCATTTTTCACATCTCCAACAACATCAGTCCTCTGCTGCTGTTGTCGCTTCTGAAGTAGGAACTCATTTAAGCGGACAATTACCTTCTTATCATCCCATGACCACTGGTTCTGTAACAGCAAATCAGCAACTATCTCAAGGTATTTGATTCAGTCTAAATTTTAGAGTTCTGTCAAAATATACACTTCTTTTTCCTATGCTTCCTATTTAGATTTTCCTGAAATTCAATACTAACATGAGAAATTACAAATCATTTTGTCAATATGTGTAAATGGAAAACTAGACTTGAAAAATTGGTAGATTCAGACTACTTGGTTGGGGTCCGCATCACTAACGTAACCAATGGTTGGAGAATCTGGGTGATATGGCTCAGAATCGATCACATTGACGTCGGTGTATACACTATCTGTCTTCCCTCAACCTCTGAGATTAAAATCGCTTCATATCTTTCTTTTTACGAACTAATTCTTTCTTCCTGTAATATACCTTGATATGCAATCTTTCTTCTATATATTGACATCATTGAACTAATTACTTCTATAAATTTGGTGTTCATCTTATTGTGCTAATAAGGTATGGCAACTTGGACCGTTGCATATATGTGCCTGGTTCTACGTTGTAACTAACTGACTGATTGACTGACATATCATGATTATCAGTAACTGATTCGTGTATTACGCGTGTTAAGCTACTTTAATCGACAAAAGGTAGGGGATTTATTAATCGATTCACCGTCTTTATCTAGTACTCTTTACTTACATTCGTCTTCACTTATTTAATGGTTACACTTCATGTGAGCAATGTATCAAAGTGATTTAAGATAACGAAAAATAAACGACCTACACATTCTATAGTTCGTCATAATCATCTTGCTTAGAAGCTAAATTCATAATTCTTTTGGCTAATAAATATAATATGTTGTTTTTGTTTTTTCTTGTCTTCTGTTTACAAATCAAACCAATTTATTTCTTCATAACAGTCATCGTTCATAGTTTTTTCTTATTATTTTCGTATAGGCGTAAAATTATTTCTACAGTTTACACCTTAATGGTTATTAGCCCTGACTAACCATGTATATATATATATATATATATACCGTTGGTTATTTCTTTAATGTGTAAAGCTTTTTTTTCGTAGTGCCAAAAAAAAACAAATTATCCTGTATTGTTGTAATCAAAGAATAAACTTATCTTTGTTGCTATCTTTTACTCCACCACTCATTCACTAGCTTATAATATCTTAACAATTTTTAACTGAAATATTGAAATCTGTCAGTTTTCGTTAATTATGCACAGAAGCATATTGTATTAATTTGTGCTTAATTATTGGATTAAAATAATCAATTTATTAGAATCTAGAAATACTTATGTACTTCTAGCAGATAGTGATACTATCCAGGTGCCAAATTAGATAAAATAGGGTTTAGATTTACGGTAGATAAGGTGGTAATTGAATGTGCGTACATCGTTTAATTAGTATATCATAAAACATTGGTCTGAAATGTGTTCATCCACCGGTCTGTAATTCACATGTGTGCTTAACATAAGGGCAAACATTACTCTCTCTCTCTCCCTCCCTTCCTTCCTTCCTCCCTTTGTATGTCTAGACTTATGAAAATTGAATAGATTACGATGAAAAAGTCACTTATTGAAAAATAAATGCTTGGAATACTAGGCAACATCTTATACACATTGGTTACTATTTTATTCATGTTTTTCTAATCGTTAAATTGATTTTTGTTTTTTAATGCTCAAGTTGTAGGATCAAATCATCCACTTGTATCGGCTTCTGGTAATATGTATACAGGAAATGTGAATCAAGCTTTAGGCGCTACCCTTCCTCGTCGACGTGCCCCAATTGGTCCATTTCCTCCCGGTGCAGTACCTCCGACTCTCCAACCATTTCCACGACCAAATATACAACAGCAAGTATCAGTTAATAATACTCATCGACCTACCTCTTCAGTTATCCAGTCAGTTACTCGCCCTATAACTCCGAATGCTATGCTAAGAACATCCTTGGTTAGTTCATCACAACCGCCTCATACACGTTCAGCTTCAAATACTGCTGCTACACTGTCCCAACCATATGTTTCTACTACTCAAGAAGTTGGACTATAAGCTTTATAATACCAAGTTTAATTCGTTATTTCCCATCTCCTCCAATTGATTTCTTTCTCTTCATTTTACATTGTAACAAATTGCATTTATTTCAGTGAATAAACTCTATTTAAATACAATTATACTGTAAACTTTTAAAGTTTGTCTTCACTCTTGCCCATCCCTCCTTGAAAAAGAACATTTCGTGCAATATTAATAATAAACCCATATTATTCATTTATAACATTGTCTTCCAGTGTACTAACATACTTTTAACTGCTTATCCCTCAGGACATATTCATGTCTGAAACTGTTTTTGTATGGACACTTTTACACAATTACTATTATTACTACTCATACAAATTGGCTTCCTATTGTGCTTTTTACTCTTTTTTTTTTCAAAAAAAAAAAGAAAAACGAAATGGTACCATTATTATTTCTTAATCTTTTTTTTCACTCTTATATTTTGCTTAAAACTAAGTGTATTTGTGCAAGAAATGTAATTCAAGTTGAAATTAACTATACATCAAATTATATTTACTTCAGTTTGATTGCTCATATTATGCTGTATGTAAACATATACCTATGTTACTGTCTATCTAAAGTTGTTTCTCTTCGTCCATTCTCTCTCTCTCTCTCTCTCTCTTTCTCCCACCCTTTAAATATATGTACATGGAATACAAAACCTAGGTAATTGATTGTTTTCTGAATATATATTCATTATAATTATTTTAGTCTTTTATTTTGTCGTTTACAGACAATTAAAAAAAAGAAGATATTTCACGCCCTGGTTAATATAAATATCCCAGTAATAATCTTTTTTTTTAATAATAATAATAATTACTACTGAATAATACTACTTAATTGATTCAATGTACATTGTTTGTTTTTGTGTGTTTTTTTGGAAAAAAAATGTTTATTTGTACAGATATAATTTCTCTTCTATCATATTGTGTTCCATTCATTTGATTATGGAATGTACCTACATTTGTATGTGTGTGTGTGTATGTATGTATGTGTCTGTGTAAATGTAGACGTTTTTGTGCCCTGTCTGGTTATTTGGTTTAACCTTTCTATTGTAAGTAACCTTTATTTTATTTTCTTCATTATCATTATCATCATCATTCACTGTTCTTTTTTCTTCTGTTAAGTTGTGAATATGAGATTACTTGTGTTTCTATGATAATGTTGGTTTTACAGTGTTGTTAACAGGTTATTCACTACTGAAATATATCTATTTACTCTACTGATTTAACATAAGACTTTTTTTGTCTTGGTTCTTGTTTTTTGTTGTTGCGTTTTAATTTTCTATGTACGTCAAATAATTGTACTTGTCTGTTTGTTTGTTAGTTTGTTTTTTCGTTAAATAGTGGATGTACTCTTCTGAGTATTTGTACGTTTTAGGAGGAATAAAAATGAGGGTACATGATCTATTAGTTAGAGCATTTCACCGTTATTTTCATTACAAACAGCAGAGTAATAGTATCACAAATCTGTTTCAATATCCATTGCATAATCATATACTTGGTTACCTAGTTAGGTTCATTAATTGATGAATTGCATGTCCACCGATTGTATATCGTCAACTTCAGCATATAAGTAATGATATAACAGATGGTTCAAAATACTTTTCTTTCATGTTTGCTGCGATAATGAAACCAGTCATGTCATATCAGATCCATGATTCACGACCCAGAATAGAGAAACAGATTAACACTAGATACTACTTGATTTAACACAGTTATATGCCGTCGTACTCAGTGAGACTGTAGTAGAAGTCAATCATATATTTAAGTCATCAGGATGTGTTTGTTTGTTCATGCTCCGTATCTAATGATATTTTACTTTCACTGCTACATATCAAGTGGATTGTTTTCTTTTGCCTATTCAGACTACAATGTGATCTCGATAAAAATATTTATGCCTATTCTGATCATTGGGTTCATCATTATGGATTAGATAGTATTGCTTATTACTGAATGTGAAAACCTATACAAATTGTTGGAATCACAAATGATGAATTTTTCCATGGTTAAATCATTTATGCTAGTCAGAACAATTGTCTTGTCGAATTTCCTTCAGAATGCTTTTCTGTTCACCAACTTTATTAAGTGATTATAACTTATGAAAAGTCTATTTCTGATTTATTTTTCTGTCGTCATATTTGGTTATTTTTTGTTAATATAAGTTAAAAGTTTTAGGTCGGTCATTAGACGAATCGACAATTGAGTATTATTATTATTATTATTAGCTTTATTCAATATTATAATTTTGGTACAATATAGAATTCTCAGCGCAAAGTATTTCAACAAGTTTCCGTTTCTTTCTTCTTGGTCGGTCCTGGCGATAAATATTGAGTGATCGCCAGTTAGATGTTAGCACTTCAGTGAATGAACAACTGAATAATGTACATTCTTTTCGTTGTACATTGCCAGCAACCATATTGTCTCTTATTGAGTTTTCTGTAACTTTGACAACGAAAGGTTGTACACTTTTCAGAAACGCAGCAGAATAGGTTATGCGATTAATAAACATAATGATATATTAAAACAAACAACAATAGATAACTTGTTGAAATATCTAGATGGCAGGAACAGGTAGCCCAGATGCTCAAACAGGCCGCCCAGCTTTCCAATAGCTGATAACTAATGCAGTTATCATTCCGAAGGTAAACTCATTCTCCGTTATTTTAATGTCTAACTTCGGTTGCTCCATGATCTTGCGCAACCGTTCATCTCTTGTTAGATAGATACCTGTCTCTATCCGACATGGATTGGACTCTACACTGTTGGATGCCGGTCAAGGGTCAAGAGGTTGGGTGTTCGCACGCCAGACCGAAGTTTCTGGTTCAAGTCCCACGTGCGGGATCGTGGACACTCACTGTTGAGGAGTCCCCATACTAGGACGAATCGGTCTTCCAGGTTCTTAGTGGTGGTCTAGCGTAGACTGACTCATGAATGCCCTGGTACGGCCGTGTGTGGTGAGATTTATTCCTCCCTCTCCAGTTGTCCAGGGAAGTCCTACTCACTGGCTTCTCGCTCCACGGGTGTTACTTACGAAATTGAGAGGACGAAAAGCGCATATCCGGCGCTTTAACTGGGTTGGTGGATATAGAGTATCCACCTAGGTGAGTTGGAAATGGTGAGACTATAATTTAAGGACGACCTTTGAGCGAAGCTAGACTGAAGTTGAGAGTATTCAGTTATCAACTGCGACTAAACGAGGGTTAGAAATCTGTGTGAGGAATTAGAATTATGATATACAGTTGATGGTTAAGTGTTAGGAATTAAATTTATGGTTTTCATTACGAAATGTTATCAGCTATAATGCCAAAAATATCTGGCCAAGCGGATGAGTGAATTTCGCGCCAAAATCCAAGACCTGTTATCTTATACCTGATTGGTTCGTCCATAAATTATAGTCTCGCCGTTGGGAAGCCTTGATTCCAAATTACTGGTGCCCATGGGCTCCAAAATCCTGATGGAAGAAATTGTTGGTTACCGGCTACCATGGGACTGTATCTCCTTACGTTGCTCCACTACCTTGCGGACCAGACCTTTCGATCGATGGCTTCCTAAAAAATCTACCTTCGGTTTGGGCACCCCGGCAGTATCACAGTTCATATGCAAATCAATGACATTTCTGGCACATATGTATTCGGTGCCCCTTTGTACCAATATTTGTCAGATGGGTTTTGTGGAGATTGTAGTAATTTCAATGATTAAGATCATGAGTCAGTTGAAGCTAGACCACCATGGAAAACCTGGAAGAACTGGACGGCCGTTTCGCACTACTGTGGGACTCAGCAGTGCGCATCCACGACCTCGCCCCCTGCGAGATTCGAACCCAGGACCTACCGATATTAATCAACATATGCTCACTAGTGACTGGCTTCATGAGGTATATCCTGGAGTTCTAGTGAAAAGTAGTGACCAGTGGAGTTCAACCAGGTCTGTTGTGAGATATCAACTCACTGAAGACAATAGTGAATGTGTCTCTCAATTTCGTGGATTAGTTGAAGTTAGACATTAATACCGTTGGATGCTGGCTCAGTATTCTAGTAGTTAAGTGCTCGCGCGCGAAACCAGTAGGTCCCGGGTTCGAATCTCACAGGTGGCGAGGTCGTGGATGCGCACTGCTGAGGAGTCCCATAATAGGACAAAACGGCTGTCCAGGTTTTTCATGGTGGTCTAGCTTCAAGTGACTCACAATATTTATGTGTTCAAATAAATAATACAACTCATGAATTCAACTATTAAAATATACGAATCGTAAGCAAATAGGTCACATTGTATCAAAATTAATATGTAAAGCGAAATTATCGTTTTTGCTTTGATGACCTACACAAATATTTTCTTTATCCATCTTAAGTGTTTATGATATTGAAGAGAAGTGAATTTTAACTTGGAATTGATACACTTCATGAATTGTATTAGGATCACTACATCTAACAAGAGAAATGTTTTCTCCTGCCTTTCAGTAAGTAGTTCTAATTGTGGTTTAAAAAGTGACGAGAACTAACCATTCCTCAGAATTCTGGTTTCAGAACAGTAACATGCATTCTGACGCTCATCTGTAGACATATACCCTATCCTAAATATTATATCCCACCGGGAGTGCTTGTGGCAGTATTTTCCACTGTACTATATAAATCTATGAGAGTTTCTTCCTTTGAATACCATTTCGATGAGTTAGAGCTTATACTGAACTGTCATCTGAGTAAGTTATGTCAAGGAGTATCCGTTTAGGCTACCCATTATCATTAATTATCAAAAATTTCTCATTGATTATATGGCCAGAGTGAACATGATATCATTAGATTTAAAACTTATTACAGTAACAAGGTTACCTATTTCGGTTTATAAGTATGTATATTCTGATAATAATAATAATTACAGAATCCGTACACATACATATTTCATGTGAAAATAAGCGCAACTTTTCTCACTATTATATTCAATGTCATATTTACGTATGTTGCATAGATAGTTAATTCGTTGTTATTTGTCTAAGCAATTTCATATTAACTGGCACACATATAACTGATTTAATTTTAATACACAAATATTTATTACTGTTGGAAAACACTAATTCCAAACCAATGATGCACAAGGGCTCCAGTACCCTAAAGGAACAAATGGTGTATGAACCAATTATTGGTCACCGGTTACCATGGGACTGCATCTCCTTACAATGCTCCACTGCCTTGTTGATCAGACTTTTATGTCAAAGACTCCAGGTGCGGCCCTTTATGAAAATCACCTGATTCGGTTTGGGCATCCGGGCAGTATTCCAGCCCTCATACAAATCGAATGGTTTATGTACCGCATATCTATTTGATGCCTCCTTGTAGCATTGTTTATGTGTTAGTTACCCACTAGTAAGTTTTCATACTTTTTTTTAGTTAAGTCTCATTTAATCACTTCTAATACAATAGAAATATTTATTTCTTAAATTAAGTTTTTCCGAAACTTAATGGATATTTCATATACCTTACCATATCTAAGACAGTGATTGCTTACTTACGCCTGTTACTGCAAATTGAGCATAGGCCACCGACCAGTATTCTCCAACCTACTCTGTCGTCGGTCTTCCTTTCTAGTTATATCCAATTGTTGTTCATTCTTCTCATATCTGTCTCCATTTCTCGAAGTAATGTGTTCTTTGGTCTTCCTCTTCTCCTTTGACCTTGAGGATTCCAAGTGAGGGTTTGCCTTGTGAGACACAGTTGGGTGCTTTCCTCAATGTATGTCCTAACCACTTCCAGCTCTTCTTCCTGATTTCTTTCTCGGCTGGGATCTGGTTTGTTCTCTCCCATAGTAGGTTGTTGCTAATATTGTCCGGCCAACAGATCCGAAGTATTGTTTTGCGTAGACAACTCTTAACAAACACTTCTGGATGATGGATTTCATAGTTTTTCAGGATTCCGCCCCATACAATTGAACTGTCTTGACATTTGTATTAAAAATTCTGACTTTGGTGTTTTTTAACAATCATTTTGATTTCCAGATGCTCTTCAATTGTAAATATGCTGTACTTGCTTTGCCGATCCACGCTTCACACCTTCATTAAATCCATCATGTTCATCAATGATGCTACCCAGATATGCTAATATAAACTACTGATTAAAATACAACCTTCAAATATACAAATATTCAACCTGTTACTAATTAAAATTCAAAAAAATTAAAATGAAATGAACTAACCAATTTAAGAAAACCGATAGTTTGTCATAAAATATCCATTTCTAGAT